TGCCCCTACGGCGCCCCGGGGGGCAGCGTGCAGGCGGCTTGTGACCCCGCGGGCTGCCGGCAGCTCCGCCTGCGCCTGCCCAAGGCCGCGGCAGCGGGGCTGCCCTACCAGGGTGCCTGGGTGCTGCGCTCCAGCTGCGGCGCGCTGCACGTCAGCGTCAGCATCGCAGTGCCGCGCAGGGAAGAGCCCATGGGCACCGCCGGCCCCTCTGCTCCATGAGGGCTCTGCCCTGCCTGGGCTGGATACTGCGGCTTGAAAGACGTGGAGAAACGCTGCTCCATCCCTACCAATCTTCCCTGCCACTGTTGCCGTCTGTCGCCAAATGCAAGAGTTGGACTGTGGATGTTCATTCACATTGCCAGGTGTTTCCTGTTGATTTCAAGTATCATTAAATTGTATATATCTACTTCTGTGTGGCCAGTTCCCAGAGCGAAGAATTGGGCGTAGGGTGACGGGTTGAAATTCCCAGCAATGCTGTCCATCCAGGGAGGCAGGTAGGTCATGCCCTTCTCTAGAGAAGGGATCCCGCATGCAGGTGTGTGCACATGACCCAGCAGGCTCTGGACCATCAGCCCTGCACGCCCAGCACAACTTTCTTCCTGTTCCCACTGGGACGAGGGGTTGCTGTGCAGTGTTCCTGCACCATCTTGTGGCCAATGAGACACAGGCCTTTCCTGTGCCAGAGAGAACTGGGTTGGCCTAGAAGAAGCACAGCCACCCGTTGGGGCTGTCCCAGGCCTCCTGGCTCTGCCTGAACTTAGAGGAACTTGAGGCCTTCTCTTGAGGATTTGCTGGGTTTGCTCTCTCTGGTGGCTGGTGTTCTGGGCCTCGGGTGCTCTGGGACCATGCAAACCAGATTGTGCTTGTTCTCAGCTGGTTGCATCAAAGAATTTAGCTGGCTTGACTGAAAAACCAGCCCTGTTATCGCTGGGGAGGGGCTGCTGCCTGACAGCCCCGGCCTCCTTCCAGCATGTCAAGTTGTAGCACTGGCAGCACAGAGCCCTCCCAGCTGGGAGTCTTCTCCTCCCACACGTGCTCGTGCTCACACGCACGTTTCCTGCTGTACAGAAGGTTTAATTAGCACCATGCGTGGAATGGAGGTGACTGCCCTTGCCTGCCACCTCCCCGGCCCCAGCTCACTGTAGCTACCGCTCAGCCGTTACTGCAGGAGCTGTGTTCACCCTTGCGTCCCTTTCCTCTTGCCTGTCCTGTGTCAGTGCCTGGTGCAAAACTGCTGCTCTCTTGTAACACAGAGGAGCTGGTATTTTGGGCATTAGAGAAGGACTTCCTGCAAGGAGACTCATCATGTTCTGTTTAAAGGCAACCTGCATGTGGGGTTTATGCTGGAGAGGGGTAAGGCTGCCGAATATTGCAATAATTTGTAATGCTTTAAAATTTGCCAGGAAAGGCATAGTTAAGCCCAGTAAGCATGAGCTGAACCTTTGCAAGAGGTGGAAAACAAAGGTGAAATGTTCAACTGCAATTACTCCATGGGATGTGATAAGCACCCTGTCATTGTAAGTATTTGAATCAGATGGGGATTTTCATCCCTTAAAGCACTGTGCCTGCCCAGAGCCCCGGCTGTCCCCAGGAGGCCTTTGGCTTGTACGATGATGCAGGCGAGCACAGGACACAACCGCAGGTCCATTGCTGGACAGCTTGAGTCCATGAGTGGGGCAGCGGCTGTGGGCGCCGAGCCATGGCCAGACATCATGGGATCTGTCCAGCAGGGTCACAGGTGTTGTCACCATGGCAGACTTCACAAAACACCTTCAGAGCGGTGCCTTTTAGTTGACTTGGGAGGAAGGGGACACTTGGATATTTTTACTAGTCAAAGCTTCAGTAAAAAAAAAAAAATCTCCTTTTTGTCGTGTTAATGGGAGTGGTGGCTGTGAGGTCGATGGGTTACACTGAGATACAAGACTGTGGAGACCATTGGCTTCTGAACAGATTGGACTGGAGATCTTCAGCTTTCTGGATGTGGCTACTCGTGTGGCTCCAGCAGATAACACCTATGGGCTACGTGCCTCTCCTCATCTCGAGGGAGTTTCAGGAACTGTTCCCCATGCCGGCAGCCTGGCTGTGCTGCCCCTTATCTCTCTATGCAGCGACACCATGTGAAACCAAACCCTGCGCCTGCTGCGGGGATAAAGAACTCCCTGCTCGGCCTTGCCAGGTGGAGGGACCGCTCGTTTGGAGGCCTCGCTCCGCGTTTGGCTCGGCTTGCCTCTGAAGTGGCTGGAGGGGGTGCCCACACTGGATCAGAAGTGCTTGGCCAAGTAAGTGATGCAAAATGCTTTTTTTGCTCTTTAAAACCAGGAACATGCAGTTATGGGAAGGGCAGTTATGGGCGGGGGGGAGACGGACATCATCCCTCCCTCCACAGCAAGGCTGCAAGGCTCTAATCGTGTGCCTTTTCCTGCAGCCTGTCCCTTATCCCTGCTCTGCACGAGAGAGAGGGGCAAGCCATTCTGAAGCTCCATGCAGCCAGCTGGAGTCTTAAAAGCGCTTTGCAGTCCAGAACTGTTTATTTCCATCGCCATGCACCTAGACCAGCTTGTTCTCTCTGTGCATGAAATCCAGGCCATCTGCCCTGCCCCTGCAGCTGCACTTTTATTCTCTTGGCCCCCAACTCGTTCACCTGAAATAGTCTTGTAGAGAGGATGGTCAGGGAAAAAATAGCTTTTGGGCCCGGAAAACCCTAGGGAAGTAAGCCACATACCTCTCAGGTGTGTCTGTTCTTACCCAAAGGTTTTTATTCTTTGGAAAGCTGGATTTGCTGATCTCTAAACATTTTTTTCAGAAAGTTCCTTGGTCTTTTCATAGGAAATCTCACCTCCCAATGTGAACTTTCTCCATAGTAAGCATTGGATGCCAAAAAGCAGTCCACATTCCTTTCTCCTACCCTCACCCATGGCTCTGAATCACAAACTGAAAACTACTGCTAGATTGTGATACGCGTTGTCATTAAACCAGAGCAAATGTGTTAGCTGGATGCTTTAGAATGATGAGGTGGAAGTGAGGGACATTCACACAGCTCCCTTTGGCTTCCACATCATGGCCCTAAATGTTGGGCATCAAATGGTTAATTTGTGGATATTAATGGGCCTCATCCTAAGTGAAAACCTCAGTGTGCTCTGCAGAGATGTCTGAGTTGTATGTTCAGAGCAAACCCAAGGACAGGCACAGAAACCTACAACAGGACAGATAGAAGAGAAAGGGGCAATTGGTGCTGTTGGACTGGTGCTGGGTGTCTCCTTGTCCTAGCTGTTGTTACAAAAATTACAGTAATGCTTGTTTTTTTCCACTGATGCATTGCATAAAGTGTCTGCTGTTCTAAGTGGTAATTTTATTGGCAAATTCTGAGTAAGCAAGATCATTTGGTCTTGGCTCTCCCACACAACAGTTGTGAGTTGGCTTTCTCTCAATTTTTCTCCATCTCTTAGTATCAACAAAAGTGAATTATTGTAAATACAGTGTACTTCAGCTTGTACAGTCTCTCTCTTTCATAAAATGAGTTATGATATGTGAGTAGAAAAGTGCTGAGAGCTGAATGACAGTGTCATAATTCATGAGCTGTGGACACAGATTTTATTTTTCTTCATAGTTGATATCTGAAAACTTTCTTCTTTTTAGGATGATGTACCAGCATTTCCTTTTCCTTTTCTTCCTCTCCTTCCATCCCTATAAATGCCAGGAACAAATCTTGAGTCAGGATCAGTATGAAACCCCCAAGGATTACCAAGAGGTCTACAGAGGGAACAAAAATGATGTCAAAGAGATCCCAAAGATTGCAAAGCCCTTCATTTCTGAGATGATCTTTGTACAGACTAGCATCACTGATATAAGAAAAGGTGCCTTCAGATACATGCCCAACCTGAATAAAATTCTGTTTATTGGCAACCAAATCAAGACAGTTGAACCAGGAGCCTTTGACGGTTTGGAGAAGCTGAGGGATTTGGAGATCTCTGGTGCCTCATTAGAAGAACTAGCCGTGGGAACTTTCCAAAACCTTCCGGGCTTGCAGAGACTGGAGCTGAGAGACAGCCACATCAGGCAGATCCCCAAAGGACTGTTTGATGGTCTGGAGAATTTAGGAGAGCTCTCCCTGCACATCAATGCAATCCCTTCTCTCCCAGAAGGCATCTTTGATTCTCTTACCAATCTCACTTTTTTGGACTTGGCTAGAAATAGGATCAGGACTCTTCCTGAGGACGTCTTTAGCAAGCTTGCCCAACTGCAAGTCCTACGGCTGTATGAGAATGAGCTGCAGGACCTCCCGGAGGGGTTACTGGATGGTCAGTTGGGGCTGCTGGAGCTCAGTCTCCAGAGGAACAGACTCAGTGTGCTGCCAACCACCCTCCTGAACAACCTGCCCCAGCTGGAGAAACTCCTCTTGGACAACAACCTCCTCAGGATTCTCCCACTTAAAGGCTTTTTTGGTTTAAAAAAATTGAAGCTACTGACACTGGGTTCAAACCACATTGTGGAGCTTCCCAGCTGCCTTTTCGATGTCATGCCACAGCTCCGGGAGCTGGACCTGGGCAGGAACAGTTTGATCACACTTCCAGATGGCATCTTTAGAAACCTCACATCTCTCAGCAAACTTATCTTGTCCCAGAACAAGCTAACAGCCCTACCAAGAGGAGCCTTCACTGGGCTCAGCAAGCTCTCAGACCTCCAGCTGGACACAAACCAGCTCTCTGCTCTGGACAGCAAGGTCTTTGTTTCTCTTATAAATCTGAAAACTCTCAACCTTAGAAAGAACCAGCTGGAGAATATCCCTCATGGGCTCTTGGACCCGCTGGAAAGACTCAGCTCACTGTATCTCAGCGGGAACCCATGGAGATGTGACTGCAACCTTTTCTACCTGCATAACTGGATCCAGGGCAACACTGAGAAAGTTAAATTGCCCACCCAGGTTGCATGCAAGAGTCCACCCCACCTGGCAGGGCAAGCAGTAATGTCACTGAGGAGTGACCAGTTACTTTGTCCAAATACTATGCCTGCTTCAGCTTCTTTTACTCCACCTCTGCCATTCACTTCCTTGTCATCACAAGGGATGTCAACTATGCTATCAACCAGGGCTTTCCCAACTGCAGTACTGACCACACCATCACCAAGGGCCTTCCCAGTCTTGGCAGGGCCAAACACACCATTGCCTGTAGCCATTCCCACCATGATGTCAACCGTGCCACCAAAAGCATACATCAATGCTCCATCACCAAACATATCCCTGGGGGCCCTCATCACCAAAGCATCACCAGCTGTGCTGCCAGAGGCCTCCATCGTAACCCCATCTCCAGCTGTGCCACCGAAGGCCTCCACTACCACCTCAGCTCCAACCACGCCTCGGAAGACCTCCATTACCACCCCAGGTCCAACCATGCTGACAGAGGCCTCCATCACCACCCCATCTCCAACTGCGCTGAGAGAGGTCCTCATCATCACTCCATCTCCAGCCATGCCACCAGAGGTCTTCAGCTTCAGTCCAACACCAGCCATCCTAAGTCTGCAGCCTCCTGGAGTCACCACCACGGGGACCACACCATCCACACCAATTTCTGCTGGCAACACAGTGTCAGCCACCACCCTGGCAGCCACTGCTGAACAAATGCCACCTGTTCCTTCAGCTCCCACAGAGAGACCAGCAGCCAACGTTTTGGGGACTCCCAGCTCCTCCCTTGCCTCAGGCTCTGTGTCAGTGCTCCAGCCACCCCACAGGGCTGCTGTGCCAGGCATAACTACACTGGCATCATACCCATCATCTGACCAAACGTCTAAGCCAAGCAGGGACTTGGACCAGGTCACAGTGTGGGGACTATCCACTAACAGCACCCAGCCCTCAGGCACAGCCTCCCAGAAGAGTTCTGCCTGCCAGCCCCAGCTCCCATCCCTCGCAACATCTCCTGCATCCGCTCTGTTCACCATTTCTGCCAAGTGGGACCATGCACATGCCCAGCCGGCCTCCCTGCCCTTGTCCCCTTGCTGGCTTCATGCTTGGGGCTGCACCTTATGGTCTAGCCGTTGGTACTGCCTGGTCTCCCTCACCTTGTGCTTGTCTATGCTCATGCTGGAAATTGGTTGCACATTTCTGGGGCTGAATCTGGCCCTTCTCCTTTACAAAGCCACTCGCCGTAGAGGTGGACCGAGGGTGTTGGTGAGGCTGGTGAGTGTCCAGCCCCTGGCAGCCACATGCCAATACTAGAGAGTCCACTGGGGTGTGGGGCCTGCTCCAGGACCCTCTGAAAAGGTGCCAGCATCACTTTGAGCTTTGCTGCTTCTGTGCAACCAGCCTGCTTAGTGCCACTGGTGCATTTCTGCATTGTGGTCTAGTGTTCCTACATCTACAGGAGTAAGGGGGGACAATTTCCCCATAAATCTTGGATGGAGTTTGTGGATTGTGCTTGTGGCACAGCGGTGCTGCTTCTTCCCATGGTCCCCGACATGCACCATGGGGCCCTCAGTGTGGGCAGGAGCAGGGGGCCTGGGCGCCTCGGCATGGCTCTCCCAGCAGTGTTGTTCTGCTTTGCCTCACTCCCTTGGTCCTCACTTACTACAAGAAGGGAGATGTGAGAGCTGCGCATGCCAGGACCTCTCTGTGCTGGAAATGGCTTTGGGGTGTCACTAGCTGCACACGGAGGAGACTCTGAGCCTGGGGGAGCAGGGCTGCCCCTGTGACCCTGCCTCATGGAGCCTTCAGCCAGGCAACACTAGATGGCATCGCTGCACCGGCAGTGACTGCAGTGACTGCCATCGCCTGTCCCCCTGCTACTCACGGCCACGCAGGGTGACGGTGGCCCTGGAAAACCTGCTCTGACATGTGGACACCCTGCTGCCAACCCTCCCCAGCCATGCCACGGGCAGGTCGATGCTGGTAGGTCCAAACGGCAACGCTGCGCTCTTCCTCTCTCTTTCTTGGTTTCCACCTGACCAATATTAAAGTCTGCTGTGAGCATCCCTGCCATGCACTAAAGGGCTGGTGAGAGGACTGGTTCTGGGCCAGGCTCGTTCTTGGCGTGGTCTTCTGGGGTGGTTGCCCACTGTTGGCTGGGGCGTAGGATTCCCAAACTGGTGAAAGTTGTCGGAGAGCTACCTTGGATCAGAGCTGCACCTCTCCTCTATGGACACAGGCAGTGACAGTGTGAGAAAACCAATGCTTTTTATGTGTTATTTTTTTTTCTCCTTCTCTTAAATCTACTCCCAAAAGCTCTTTGAGATGCTTCTTGTCCTGGTTTCTCTGACAGAGTAATACGTGTCCAATCACTTTGCATACAATGATTTAACTTGGACCTGTACCCAAAATCCAGGCTAAGTGCCAGTTTCTTTGAAGTTCAGGCAGAGGTGGGTAACCTTCCTCCTAAATGAAGTTTTGACGTGTGTGCGTTCACCTCTGCACTTCTGGGTTACAGCCAGGGCCAGAAAAGGAAAGTGCCAAACTTAAACAAAAGCGCCTGTTTCTGTGGCTTTTCTGGCATGGCAGGAAGTGGTGAAACTAGAAAGCTTTATCCCAGCAGATTTGGAGCCTGATTTCGGTAGCTGTGGCACTGCGAAGCCTTTAGTTTGGCAGCTCCTGATCCCTGCAGGCTGGGAGGTTGCAGAGAGGGCCCTGCACTTACTTAGCTGTAAGGCAGGAGATGAGGCTGAGCCCTGGCCGCGAGCTCCCTTGGTGCTCCTCACTCACAGCTTCTCCCTGCAGTTAGAGTTTTGCAGCCTGTGCACCTCCCATTGGGCACAGAAACAATTTTCCTGCCAGTGTAGATCAGCAAGAGCCTGAGGACATCAACCCTGATGGCTTGTAAAGCAGTCGGCAGCCAGGAGAGGCAGCTAAGGATTGCACTGGAGAGGAAGGCTCCGTGGTCAAATACCTGCTCCCCGTGTTACTGAGGTGTGTTCTCTCCTGCTCCTGCGTTTTCAGCACAAAGGGCACTGGTTTTGCTCAAGGCTGTCAGCAGTGGTGACTTAGCCTTGTGTCCCTCGTGGTGGCCCCAAGCTGAGCCACCCCACTTATTACAAGGTTGAATTTGTCTGTAGGCGCTTGCCCTGGCCTCTCGAGCCTGCTCCCTCCTGCTGTGTCCTGAGCGTGCCTCCGCGGGCACCGTGTGCAGGCGCTGCCGGTTCGGGGCCCCGGGGAGGACAGCACGTGGAAATCAATAGTCAGGCCACGTGTTGGGCGAGGAGAGTCCACCAGGAGCGTCTGCTTGTGTCTGCAAATCGCACTGCATTTCGTGCCAGAACTCAGCTCGAGCCCAGGCGCTGCCCGGTGTAGCGCTGTATGGTGGTTATATTTATCCTCTGCGCCACCACCTGCCACAGCTGCGTGGTTTGCACATAGGATGAATCAAAACTCCAGCTCTAGAACCACAAGAGCATGAGTTGGTGCCCATGAGCTCAAGCCACATCAGGAAAAAGTTCTGCATCTCCCTGATCTGCACCTGGACCTGCACGCTCAAGCACTGCAGTGTCAAAGAGCAGAGGAGGCAGCTGCAGGACGGGTCTGCCTGGGACACCTTCCCATCTCCCTTTACAGCTCCAGCCTGGGCTCCCTGGGCAGAGGGGGCCGGAGCGGTGCCAGCCCAGGGCTCCTCCCTGGAGAGAGCATGTGTGGAGCTCACCTCGTGCCGGACCCAGGGGACCAGAAGGGCATCCTGTGCCAGCTCTGTGTCTGTGACCGTGTTAGAGACTTGGCTCTATGTCTTTGCTAAGAGCCCGTGCAGTGTTGCAGGATGTTCGGCAGCTCCTCAAAGGCCTGGTGACATCTGTGAAATACCGTAGGTGAGAGCAGGGCAGCACATCTGCCGGGACAGAGCCAACGGCTCCGAAGTCGGGCCTGGCACTGCGGGTAACGAGGCGCAGATGAGAGAAAGGGAATGTTTTTCCTGGCAGGCCACATGGGCTCAACTTAATACATGATTTAGAGGGTTTGAAAGTGGGGCCTGACTGCCGGGGAACAGAGCTTGAACACTTTCATATATCGCTTTTCAGATATTTAATGGCCCAGTGCAGTCTAAATAGGGAAGTACTTTGAGGGCGAGATTAGCACAACATAATCACATCTTAAAAGGTCTTGGGAGACACAAAGCATGTCTGCTTTCCTATTAATTACTTTCTGTTAATAAAGCTGGGGTCAGGGCCAGAGGTGTTTGCTCTGGAGTGTGGATGGATGCCGTCTTTGCTGCGAGCCACGCGCTTTCCCATCGGACACAAGTCTGAAATCAGTGCAGAGCCCTGTCCGTGCTGCTGCAACCATCGCCTCCCCGCACACTGCTCTGGCTCCAGAAACTAATGGTCTACATTCCTTCTGCTCCTTTAAAACTGATTTGCCTTATACTACCCCAAAAGGGCTGTGCCTTTCCAAGGGCCCAGAACACCTCTGAGTGCTATAAAATAATAATAGCCAGGGCGTTCTCAGCACAGGAATTTCCTGCTATGATTGATTTCCAATTTGCAATGAAAATACAACCTTCTGTGTGTCTGGGGAAAGGGCTAGAGCAGCTGGCTGCAGTCAGGATTTAGCTTCCTCCACCGCCCAGTGGCAGAGCCTGGAGGGCCAAGACTGTGTTGATGTGGTAGGAATTAGCAGTGGTTCCCGTATGGGCAGCCCTTGCTCCGGAGCTGCCAGGGAGGGAGTGGGCATGTGGGCTACCCTGGGCTGCCCCATTGGTGACCACGGGATCCTTGGGGAACTGGTGGGCCCTTGCCCGTGGCGTGTGAACGTGAGGTGCCTGCTAGAGGAGACCAGACGGAGGAATGTGAGATCACCATGTGCGGATCTGAGGACCACACACACCTCTACAGTAGCTGGCTCCTGGTGGCCAGGTTGGAGGCCTGGTGTCACCCCACGGGATTCAGCTCCAGGGAGGCCAAGAGGCATCTGTGAACAGGCCACAATGATGCCCCGGCGGAGCGGAGCCCCACAGAGCTATGGGTGGCCCTTTCCTTTCTAAAACAGGGGCCATGCAGATGGCTGGAAGACTGTGTGGGAGCACGGGGGCAGCTCTCGCCTTGTGTAAGATGGTTTGAACTCAGATCTGCTTTCCCAGGCGGGCACGCAAGGTACCCAGAGCTGCTGCTTTGCTCGCCTCCGGCTGCACCAGGAGCCCTGTGCAGGAACAGGAGGTGAGGGTGGCCACAGAAAAGCACAAGGGGAGCTCGGCCGCTAGCCCAGGAGCTGTTTGTGGAGGCCGGGAGCGTGCGGGTCAGGGCGGCTGTAACCCAACACCCCAACGGGAGAGCGACGCCAGCCCTCGCGCTGTCAGCCGCCGCTCGGCCGCTGAGTGCATGAAGACAGG